GAGATCCTCGAAATGGTTATTGAAAATGCTATAGTATGATGTCCTGATGTTATGTACAAGTATACAAAGCAAGCAAGTTGTTATGTACAAATAGTCGTATACACACAAAGCAGACAAGTCCTTAGGTTTAGGCTTGCATAGAGTATGTAGGTAAGTGCCCTCTTGAAGTTTAGTTGGCTCAACCTATCCTAATAATAGTAACCGGGTTCTAGGGGATCTCAGTATCACTGATCTTTCTTCATCGGGCATTGTTTCAGTTTAAGCCTCTTTAATAGCGACCAAAATATCCCGAAAGTCCAATCTCAATGAGCGTAGTGTCGAGTATCAACCAACTTCGGACTGCACCAAATCCGGCTACCTCACTACTTCCTAATGGCCAAGTTGTTAAGTAAGGTTCTAAAGTTAGTTAGTGCTTCATGACACCACACAGCGGCCCCGTATTCTCCTTGACTACTCAAGGGCTACCGGTACCAACAAATGTGTCACACTAACGTAGCCATTGCTTCAACCATGTCGGTATACCCCACACAGTTTCCATAATCTATTACTACTTACCTAAAAGGTTCCCCAGATCCAGGTAGAGGATCAAAACAAACCCAAACAAGGGACCAATGTAAAGCAATCAAGTCAAACAAGTAAAAGTGATCTAGCCCTAAGGTAACCCCACTTATAAGTAGATTCCTCAGCAGAGTCGCCAGTTCTATAACACGGTGGGAGAACTGACTTGGGATGTTTTGTGTTTGATCCTAATTGTTGAGGATAGAAAGAGTCGCCGTCGACTTTTCTTTTATCCAATAAGGAAAGATTGAAAAGAACAGGAAAGACCTTTAGAGATTATTTCTTTAGTTCGGGGGGTAGGTTATGAAAAGGAAAGGTATTAGCACCCTTTTCATCCATAGTCATCTACGGGCTCTTAGTTGCTTGCTAGATCACTTGCTTTTGTTTGAAAATATACTTGTGGTGTGGGTTTTGAAAGTATTTTTAAAATGTCTTTGTAATGGTTCTCGTTTCTATAAGAACGCGTACAAAGTGTTGTTTTGAAAATAGTTCAAAGAGGTGTTTGTGGAATGTGTTTTTGAAAGTAATTTTGAAAATGTGTCTTTGTAATGGTTCTCGTTTCGATAAGAACACGTACAAAGTATTTTAACTTTTGAAAATGTTTCAAATGAAAGTGTTGGTGTATAAAATGTTTTTGTTGTGAGTAAGAGAGCAATTAGGAGCAACCTACATACTCAAAAGGTATTAAATATTCTTTTCCTCCTCCTTTAAATGTTGCTATCTTACCAATGATTTGGTAAGAAGCCCCATCATTGGATATAAAGGGACGGGCATGGGACGTTTGTACAGTCATATAATACAACCTATGGGACATTTTAGCAATGTCTCTTAGGGACTATATCGTTTACCGAAGGCAACATTGAGGGTCATCAAGGATCTACGATCTTTTATTGAGGGTCTTTTTTAAAACGCCCATATTTGAGGGACATGACTATTTTTCCGAGGCAACAAGTGAGATTATCCTAAGGGTGCATGTGTGAATAGTGTGTTTGATTTGCATGCATTTAGTCTTTGAACTTTTGGTTATCTACTTATTGTTTTTATCTTTCCATACATCGTAGTTACTAGAATTTATACAAAAGCAATAAAAACGCAGAAAGATAAAATGCTACACTATTACAACCATATTGAATAACATGAAAATATAAAGGCAAAAATAAAATCAAAAGTAAGAAAAATGGGTCTTTCGATTTGGGCAGAAACACCCTTCGATTCTGCACTTTTTGACCTCCTTCGATTTGGGGTCTGGAGTCAGTGGAGTCATGCCCTTCAATTTGCCTTTCTTCCTCCTTCGAATGGAGTTGGAACCAATATAGGTGTGTCTTTCGATTGGGGCCTGGAGGCCAGCATGTTGTGCCTTTCGCCTGGGCCTGGAACCAGTGCAAGATGTAATCTTCCTTTCTACCTCCTTCGACTGGGGGTTGAAAGCAGTGAGGGAGTGCCTTTCGACTGGCCTTGGAATCAGTGAGGAAGCCTGAGGCTTCGTTTCATACTCTTGTCTCATGTTTCTTTCGTTTGAGATATTAAATAGCAACATGGCCTAAGGCCATGCTGCCATTACCTTAGGGTCAGGTTAGTTCTTAAAGCATTTGTAACAAACCAAAGAACAAAACCAAAATGAGAGGCAATAAAAACAAACTAAAAGGGTGTAAACGAAAGGGAAACAAATACTATGTACATGTTTGAAACGAAAAAGAAATTTATTTATATGCTATGCTGGAAATGAAGGATCCAAGGTTAAGAAAAACTTACCTTGCTTGAGGCTGGGATGTGTGCTGAGCCTTTAAGTGGTTTCCTTGAGCGCTTCTGGATTTGAAGGGAGGGACCAAGGGTTAGGCCTTTGATACTGGATTCGAAAGAGAAGAACAAATGTGAGGTTCTTTCTGCTGGATTCGAAGGGTAACAAGGTACAAGGATGCTTCAGATTGGAAGGAGACAAGTGTTTGGGTTCTGGGTTTGTGTTTGATGAATGTTTAAGTGTTTGAGAGCTTTTTTGTGTTTGAGAAATTTTTGAAGATTTGTTCTTCTGGCCAAAAAGTTCTCCTTAAACATGTTATGAAGCCTTTTATTTATAGGCAAAGCTGACTGAGGCTTTTGGAGGGAAACCAAAAGGTTTGAACAATTTGAGTAACCTGCTCCTTGTAGCTTTCGAAAGATAGTGCTTTATATGCTAGTTTGGTGCAAGAATGGGGCAGTGTTTCAGGACTGTTGTGCATCAGTTTTGGCCAGTGTGCCAGGCCTGAACTTGGCAGCAAGCATCTTTGAATATTTCACCCTTTCGTTTTGAACCTTCTTCGACCAGATTCTTCTCCCAACAATATTATTTGATTTTCCTCCAACGAGTGTCCTTCGAATGGGCTACTTTTGTGCATCCTTTGAGGGAGCCAAAAGTGTGACCCTTGGATGGGTCACCAAAACATGCCTTAAAGTGGGCTTTGTAAATCCTTCGAATGGACCATCAAGCATATCTTTCGAATGGGATGGCCAGAGTTAGGTTCGCAAGATGCTGATTCAAAGGGAATCAGAGTTACAATCGAAACCTCATGAAGGTGGTTCTGTCCAGTCGAAGGCTTTCCTGCCAAAGATCCATGTGGCCAAACGAAGGAGTGTACGTAGGGAACCACATGCCCAAATGAGAGGTGCATGCAAGAGGCCAAAATGTCCAGATTCGAAAGAGGCATACATGAGGCAAAAAGTGTAAATCGAAGGATGCCAAAAGGGAGTCTTTTGCCTTGGAATCGAAGGAGGTTATAGGAGGCTTTGTACCTTGTATGCTTAGCATGGGGGAATGTTTGTCCAGTAAACATAGTCATGCACGCATCCAAACGAAACATGCACATAGGTAGCCATTGCATTGTGAATTTTGTGAGGCCAAAGGTGCAATTGAAGGTGACATGCAAGAAGCTCTTGCATTGTGAACAAAAACCAATGCGCCAGAGGCCCATGCTCAATCGAAGGATGCAAGCCAAGCTTGCATCGAAAGAGGCAAAAAGGCCAATCGAAGGGGATGAAACGAAAGGACTTATTTTTTCCTCCAATTTTTATCTATTTTCTTCCTTTTTGACATTTTTCCTTTTTAACTTGGTACTGGAAGATCCAAATGTAATTGTGCAAGCTTGAACCTTGAGAATCCTTGTGAGAAATGTCTTGAAAAATGAGAGGGCAAATTTTGGGGTACAACAAGATCTTTGTGAGCATGTTTTGAAGAAAATGGGAGGACAAATTTTGGGGTACATCAATGACATTCAGTGGAAGACGAGGATTTCAGTATAAATAGTAGTTTTAATAATAGAATAAGGTGTGTCAAATTTACTACCAAAACTAACAAAAACTCAGAGTACAAAGCGAATAGAGAAATGAGTTCCAAGAGTGCAATGTACGTTTGATCACCAGTTTACTTTATGCAAAGCTTTACTTTTGAATTTTACATTCATTTTCCATACTTTACTTTGTCGAACTCTTTACTTTTTCAGTCAAGTTTCAATTTAACTTGTTTTCTTACTTTCATAACGTGATTTCGCCCTATGTCGAAATCATTCATATTCTTACTATCTACATATTATTTGAAAATTTTCATGCACATTGTTCTGAGACACTCTAGTCAGTCTTGCAAGTAACATTTAATAAAAGACTAGCGATGTTTACCAAATTTCAAGGTAAACACGAGTATAATGATGCTTTTCAAGAAAATGTGATTTCCTTATCTCTCTAGAGTGATATATAAAATTCATCATGGACTTAGTTCCATGTGAAAATCCAATTTTATTTCCTCTATAAGATTTCACCTCTAAAATTCAAGGAGCTTAAAGCCTATTTATAATATCTTACAAGAAATCACTTCATCATACTCCGTGTCTCTTCATGGAGCGCTCCAGTGCTATTGGTTAAAAAGAAAAATGACATAATGATATTGTGCATTGATTATCAACAACTCAACAACTTGACCCTAAGTAACAAAAACCATTTACCTCAAACAGATGACTTATTAGACCGAATTTGAGGATAATGAATCTTCTATAAGGTTGATCATATTAGTATTGAAAACTAAAGTAGTTTTATGTTGAAGTATGAATGTTTTTTACATAGTAGAGTAGATGAATTTGAGAAAATGAAACTTGAAATCAAAATAGTATAATACAGTCCATATAAATTACCCTATTTTCATGTTTTCAAATATATGTAAAATAGTGTTGCCATAAAACAAGAACTATTAGTTCAACTGTTGTAAAGAAAAACCACAAAAACAAATGTAATAATAAGATAGGAGTAAGACAGTGGATTAACTTTTTTAACTATAAAGTAGAAATTTTAGTTTTAATCCAAAAATATCTATCCAGAGAGAGGATAGACCAAAACATGTGTAGTAGAGCAAAATTTAACACCAAAACATGTATGAAATCAAAGTCACTAAAATTTTTTAGTTCATGACTTCCCTTAATCTCTCAACCATGCAAGAACTTGCAGTTATCTCCAAAATGGCATCTTCCCCTAGCAAAATGTCTACAAAACTGTTTTTGCTGATAGCTTTCTCGGTTTGTGAACCCTGCATGCATGTGATTTGCATTCGGCAGACACGGAAAAAAGTGATTTGCACTTGTCAAAGGCTTCCTTGGATGAAAAAATCTCTCTGCAAAGTTGTTTGTGTCAACAATGGAAGGGTGGTATCCCTCGAGACTAATAGGTTTGTCTCTGAAATGGTTGACTGCAGAATGGTAGTTTGTGCTAACAGATGAATTTCCTGAATTTCTGAACTGGTTAGAAGATCCCATTGCAACAGTTCGAGAATCAATAGATTGAACAAGCTGTTCAGTTACTGCTGCTGATTTAGGTAAACTTGCAGATGCTGAAGTAATGAATACATTTTTTGTTTCTCGGGGTTGAATTTGTGAATGTGATTGGAATTGGTTCTTCCCAGAATCTTTTTTGGAGATCCTGAATGTGTAAATTGCAAGGTCATGAGGTTATTTTGCGAACATATAACAAAATGAATGATCATAGAAACTTGCAATACAAGAAACTTAAAATATAAAATCATAGTAGGTACCTATTTTCCTTCATTGATTTTCGCAGCTCCTTTTCTTGTACCCTTGCTTCCCTATCAGCCCTAGCAACGAATCCCCGAGAGTGTTTTTCCATTAACATATTCCTCCTTCTGTCTTCATCTTCCCATCTCTGAAATTAAAGACAACGATATAATGAACATGGAAAGAACAACACAGTGATATCATAAGAAAAGGAATAATGCTGCACAAATGAGGAACCTGTCTCAAAGTCTTCAACCTATAAAGGTTTCGACCCTTTATCAGTAGAGGATGAAGTGGAGGTAGGGGCTTCTCTCCCTTGCTCCAGAGCACTTCAATCTATATCAGAAAAGGAAAGTAGATAGTGTGACATTCACAATTCTATTTCGCAAATAACTAATTCGGCATAAGAATAGAGTCTATTTAAGAGAAACTATGTAAAAAAAATTCCTGACCGTAAATGTATGCTGTTGTTTGGCAGCACCATAGCTTTCTTTCACTATGCGGCCTGCAACAATCCTTGTGCCACTCGGAGGACCGCTGGCACTCCTAGATGCTATGTTGAACCTAAGAAAACCAATTCAAATAAGAAAAATTGAATGATTTTCATGCATTACGACAAATGAAAAATAAACAGAAATAACAGCTTACATTTCATACACATTCTGCTCAAACAAAACAACATCACCGGTGCATGCATCACCTGCATAAACCGAATTGTTTCAAGATTTTGAAGGATGAGATAATGAAAAAGATAAGAAGGCCTATAGAGTTTAGTAACAGTAATTTTCTTTGGAAATTTTACATCAAATCAACACATCATGAAAAATTATAAGCACACTCACCTTTACAATTCAAAACAAAGCTATGAGGCGGGTATTTTTTCTCCCCTCCACCATTTATAATCCTGAAAATCTCACATAATCAGAGAAACCTTACAGTTATTAAAAAAAACTAGTTTTTTTACACAATAAATCATTACTCTTGATGCTCCTTAATACGCTGGATAAGTGTGTCCTTATTTCCGGTTAACCTTAGACCATTCTTCTTCAAATACATCTTGCATTGGTCCACTTTCAGTTTGTCTAGCAATCCATCTATAAACCAAAAACAATGAGAGAAACCTTGAACATCTTTAGATTAAAATTAGCAAAAATCAACCTCCTTGTGCATAGCTACTCAAGAAGTTCTATCTCGGTCTATGAAATTATCTGGACTTATTTACTTGTGTAAACACTTGCGAAACTGTTTGAAAAAACTTGTGAAAACCATGAACGGTTTTTAGCCTATTTCCCTAGGCTCACTCTCTACATGATAACTTACGAAAACAGCTTATAACTTATCCATAAACATTTAAATTTATATGATTAAGTTGTTTATCTAAACAAAGTCTAACTACTCAAGGCTTGTTACATAAGGTTATAGATAATAATCTAGGTATTCTTTGAATCAACTTGTTTTAGTTTTTCAAGAGAACTTATCAAAACATCTTATCAAAACAACTTATCAAAACTGCTTATAGCTATATAATAAGTACTTATGCTAGAAGCACTTAAGCAACATGTTTATCTAAACAACACCCTAATAACAAAGCAACCATCTTACAATACCCAAAAAGAGGAACCATGAAGAGAAAGGAGACAAACCCTTTATTAACTTCTGAACTGTTTCAAAACCTTCATCATCAACAGAAACTGCACTGATCTTAACCACTTCCGAATCGATCTCAGAATCAGCCATACCCTTATCATCAACTATGCTGAAAACACCAAATTATCTATAAATAAAGCGTAAAAATCAAATTCTGAATGATGGGGTTAAATGGGATTGTGATATTACCGCTTTTTCGCCTTGTTTCTGAGTGAGAGGTTGGAGAAGCTTCGATGGGTTTCTTGGAGCATTTCGAAATCGGAGTCTTCTTCTGAATCGTCCCATTCTGAACTTGGGTTGGATCCTTCACTTTCGATGATGATTTCGGGAAAGTTCATTGATGAATCTTTGGTAGCCATTGGAACGAATCGGTTCAGAGTCTCGGCAGCAGAAGAAGCGTGTAAGTAAACTTTTGGGTTGTCGACCGTTGCAAATATAAGGTTTGAATTTCTCACACGACTACCACCAAATTAATACAGCAATTTTGCTTATTATATTTTTTACAAAATATGAAATTATCAATAGAATTACCGTCAATTAATTATAACTGTCCGATTTTTATAATTATTTGACTTTTTTATAATTACATTTAAATTATACAAGAGTAGTTGTGATGCATTAATTGTTTAAAAAAATTATTTACACTGATAATGTATTTCAATTAATCTTTTATTAATAATATTACTTATAAAGTTGAAAGTTAATTAATTAAGGGTGTGTGGATTGCGAGTAGTATTGATTTTGGTATAATTGATTTTAATAAAGTTGAGTTTAGTAGAATTGATTTATGTTTGAATATATTTATGTAAAATGATTTGAATAATAAAATCCGACTTAATTGGATGCAGATGCGGGTGCAGATAAAACTCGATTTTGAGCTACGGATGCGGGTGCGGAGACAGTAAGACACTAAGACCCGCCCGCACACGTACCTGTCCTGCCCCCGAATACTGCATTTACATTAATGTCTTTATTTTAATTATTTTAATGTTAATTAATTTTCTCAATTCTCACATATTATATAGACATATAGCATGTGAAAACTGAAAACTATATTTCCTCTCAAAACTGAAAAACTCTCCTCTCAACGCAGAACCGGAACAGCGTCGACCACCGTTGCTGCCGTCACCACGACGACGTCCCCCTGTGCACAAGCTCCTCAACTCCGACGCACACCAGCCCTCAGCTCAGCCGTTGGATTTCAAATTCAAAGGTTAGATCTATGTCCTCTTTTTTGAATCAAAGTTTATGTGTAGCAACTTTTCTTCTATGTTGCCCAAAAGACTGAATCCTTATTCGGTGATGACTGAGCTTGATTAATTACACAGAACAAACACTAGTGTTCTGGAGCTGTATAAATATATGAGTCGATTTGTTTGTTTGAAAATCAAAAATTGGTTGTATGTTTTCTAAGTTGGTTTATTTAGGAAGAATTCTTAATTGAAATAATCATGTTCTCAAAGGGCCAAGGTTGGGAAAGAGAAAAAGGTTAAAGAACCTAAAATGTCCAAGCTTCCTCCCACTAATTCATGTTTTCTTATAAGGTTTTATTATGATTTTGTTGATTTGTGATGTTTTGGTTCTATAGTTTGAGTGAATGTTAAAAGGACCAATGACTTTGTTAAAATATATTGTGGTCATTGTTGAAAGTAGTTTCACTGTTAAAATATATTATCGTCACTGTTGAAAGTAATTTGATTCGTTCATCTGCAGTTTACTCTTCGAGGTATACACATTTCTTTGGTTCCATTCAATCGCCAAAATTTCGTAAGGTATTAGCTTCATACTTCTTAACAACATTCCCATGAACTTTCCATTATGTGACTGTTTGTAACTTTACTGCAATTTGAAGTTGTGAAGATGTTCCCAATTTGTTCAATTTTCATAATTAATCTTTTGTTGATTTGATCAATGTGGATGACAGATTCAGAAAGAGAAGCTAGGGGACATGACCATAATAACTCTTCAACAATTGGTTTCATCTTTTAGAGAGGTGAATTTTTTCCTGATGGTTTTCTTTCACTTTGGTTGGCTGCTATGGAACTGATTGGACAAGTTATTTGGCCAAATTGACTCTTAATTTGCTTTTGAATATCATTGTCAACATAAGTATTTGTTGTTTATAATGCAAGATATTGTCTACAGTAACAATATAATTTCTTATTTTTTAATTCTGGACTTCCTTATCTCCAACTGTGTTTTTTTTTCTTTGATTACTTATCACTTGCTTGATTGATTGATATTTATTATACTGTTTAATTGTGTAAGTTCATCCTTTACATATTTGAGAAAGACACTGATGGCAACATCAACAATGAATTGGAAGTGCTAATATTTAGATATAGAGGTAAACATTACAACAAATCTTAAATAAATATTTAGAGGTAAATTATATATCATTGTGAATGTGTTTTGTAAGCAATTCGGGAGCTGTACAAAAGTTAGGTGAAGAGGTTACTCTTTTTGTACTCAATTTAGCCGAGTTATTGAGTTGGAATCTTTTGTAAACATGTTGACCATTAATCGACTTTGGGAGGTGCTATGATAGATCGCTAGGGATAATTGTTTGAATTAGTTTATATTTGATTCAATGCTGATAGAAACTTATGTTCTGGATTGGTTATTTTTAATCCTTGTGATTCTCTAATCGAATTTGAGAAAACTTGATCATACAATACTCTAAAGAGAGGTAACATGATTGGTTAATCATGCACTTTGCATTCTATCCTTTTGGTTGAAAGGACAGTAAGGTGAATAATCTATCTATTTAAATAAAAGCTGCAAATTGTGTCAGAAAAATATGAGAATAATCTATCTATTTAAACAATCTATCTATTTAAATAAAAGCTACTGATAGGAATGTTACAATAGCAACTTTTCTTCTATGCTGCTGAGTGATGTAAAAATATGATCCCAATATCTCTCTCTATTTATCTCTTGATGAAATTAAGTTATGAATGAAGCCCGTGCAAATGATGTAGATGATTTATTTTAGTAATGAGATAAAAAGCTTTGATTCTATCTCAGAAATAAAATGTTGTAGATGAGAGTACCTACAATAATTATATATATATATATATATATATATATATATATATATATATATATATATATATATATATATATATATATATATATATATATATATATATATATATATATATATATATATATATATATATATATAATTCTACTAAATATGAAATGAAGTAACTAATAGATTATTGAAGCAGTTAACAGAAACCTAACCATTTGTGTTATTCTTTCTAAGTGATATTAATCATTTTTTCAAGTTAATTATTCTTGTAAATTCTACTGTGAGACTTATGTACAACTTAATTACTTTACATGATAATTAGTTATGGAAAATGATGGTACATCTCAAACACAATGTCCACCTATCTCACAAGAAAGTACACATCAACCAATTCCCAATGAAAGTGGTAACCAATCAGTTGATACTCCTCCTCCCACACCAAATGATGATATGGAGGTTGATAGCTAAACAACCGTAAGTCATCGATCCAGACATAAAAGTTTTGTATGGGATCATTTTACAAAGATCAAAGTTGATGGAAAAGATAAGGATCAATGTAATATTGCACAAAGCAGCTTAATGGATCATCAAATGATGGGACGACACATTTAAAAGGATATTTGGGATCTTGTCCTAAAAAGAAGCTTTTGAGACCATCTGATAAAGGACATACATTTCTTTCTCCTAGAACCATGCAAGGTAAACAAGAGTTGAGTACTAGAATTTATGATGCAGAAAATTCTAAGAAAGAGCTTGCACATGCAATTATTTTGCATGAATATCCGCTTTCAATAGTGGATCATATTGGTTTTCGAAGATACTCAACTTCTCTCCAACCAATATTTCACGTTCCTTGTAGAAATAATATAAAAAAAGAGATACTCAAAGTATACAATATGGAGAGATCATCAACTTTGAAGTTGTTAGAAAATCTTGAAGGAAATGTGGCTATTACTTCTGACCTTTGGACCTCTACCAATCAAAAAAGGGATATATGACTATCACTGCTCATTACATTGACGGAAACTGGAATTTACAGAGTCACGTTTTGAGGTAAATCTAAAATGCTCACTACATATTACTTTTGTTTTTACATAAAAAATGTGTAAACAGAGTGAATGATAACAGAGTCACATTTTGTTAATGTAGTTTGCAATGATTAACTTTTTAGGTTCATTGGTCACTTTTAGTTGTGAATTAAAAATGCAAACATGTTTCTTAACTTCTCATTATATAGAGTTCAGTGAATCACATTTTGAGGTAAATCACATTTATACTAGTTTTTTGAATCTTATTATGTTAGGTTTATTTATGTTCATGCACCTCATACTAGTGAAAATCTTTGTAGTGCATTGGTTAAATGTTTGATGGATTGCAACATTAGTACAAAATTGTCTACTATCACTTTGGACAATTGTAGCACAAATGATGCAATGATTAAAAAAATTAAGGCTAAGTTGAAACCAAAGACATTATTAAGGGATGGGGCCTTACTTCATATGCGTTGTTATGCACATATACTAATTTGATAGTAAAAGAAGGGTTAGAAGTTGTGAAAGATGGGATAGAGAGGATTCGAGATAGTGTTGCATTTTGGACTGCAACACCTAAAAGGAAGGAACGGTTTGAGGAGACATCCAAACAGTTAAAAATACCTTGCACCAAGAATTTAGTTTTAGATTGTCCAACTAGATAGAATTCTACCTACAAGATGTTTGATGTTGCTATTTTGTATGAAGAAGTATTTAATAGATTAGCAATCCGTGTAACTCAGTACACTTGTTTGCCAACAAGTTTACATTGGAAATTTGCAAAAGAGATTTATGGAAAATTGAAATTGTTCAATTCTATTACTGAAGTGTTTTATGGAACTAAGTATCCAACTTCTAATGAATACTTTCCTAAGATTTGTCAGATTAAAGTTGCATTACTTCAATGGATTGAATCCTCTGATGAATTGGTAAAAAGAATGGCAGAAAACATGTTGCTAAAGTTTGAAAAATGTTGGAGTGTGATTCATGAAAGGATGGGGGTTGCCGCTGTTTTGGATCTTAGGTATAAAAATGATTTACTTGAATATTATTATGGAGTCTTCTATGGGAATGATGTTGATTTCCAAGTTAAGTCAATCAGACATGTGTGTTACGATTTGCTTTATGATTATCAATTGAAAATGAACAAGGATTTTAGAAGTGAATCTGAAACGTTGGATGCTAATGTTGGTAATGTTAGTAATGATGGTTTGAAAGACTATGATTTGTATGTCATAAGAAAAAAAGGAGCTAGAACTTCATATGTTAAAACAGAGTTGGATGTTTATTTAGAAGAGGAAGTTTTATCAAGAAGTCTAGATTTTGATATTTTATTGTGGTGGAAGTTGAATGACATTAAGTATCCAACACTTCAAGCAATTGCAAGGGATGTATTGGCAATTCATGTTTCTACCGTGGCTTCTGAATCTGTATTTAGTACAAGTGGTCATATCGTATGCCCTCATCAAAGTCGACTTCATTGGACCACTTTAGAAGCTTTGATGTGTGCAAGAAGTTGGTTATGGAGTGCTGAGAATAATGGTAATACCTTTCTTGTTTTTATTTTTTATTTTTACTTGTCAAGACTATCATTGACTATATTTTACTATATTGATAGGTAATTTGAAATCTAACGTGGGAAATGAAAATGCTATTTTACTCACTGTAATTGAGTCTGATGATGAAGGTATTATTAATACTATTTGTATTAAATTATTCAAGTTAATTTTTTATGTTTTAACTTTTATTTTTCAATATAGGTGAGTTGTTGATCGATGGTGCTACTTCTATTTCCAACTCCCGACTCGAAGATGAAGATTATTAGAAAATTTATTGTTTATTTGGAACTTTTTTTGTTATGATGATTTAGTATATTTTGTTCCATGTTTTTGGAATGGTTCTTTTGTTGATGGTATTGTTTTACTTTTGTATTTGCACTTTGTAAAAAATTATTGGTTGTTGTGAGTGATTTATACTTTGATATATTTAAATATTACACTCTTTTAATGAATCACAATCAATCATAGTTGTTGATTTGAGAATTATGATTGCAAAATATTTGTAATGGTGTTTGAATATTAAATCCTACAATTTTTTTACTCAAATTAAGGGTGGATTTTGGACTATTTAATGTATTTGTTCATGCTGTCCAGGAAATTTGTGGGAAAAAAAACATGTATTTTTTTAATTGAAAAAAAAGCAATTTTCGCGGGTGGGGACGGGGGCGGGGGACCCGTTACCCATTGGGGGCGGGTCTGGGGGTAAATTTCTACCCCCGAACGGGTTTGGGGGCGGGGACGGATCTACTACAGAGGTGCGGGTGCGGGGCTAACTAAACTCGTCCCCGATCCGTCCTGTTGCCATCCCTAGGTGTGTATCATTCTTATCCCCTTCAAACATTGCATTAACCTCAAAGTGCAGAGATAAAAAAACAACACAAAATTGATCCTAATCCTCACATGAGGCTTCCTCGGGTGAACACCATGCCCATTGTAACGACACCTATTGCAGCAGAGAACCATGGATTAACATTGCGAGTGGATGAACATGAGAAAAAAATACACAAGAAGGGGGTGGAATTGTGTATATGGTAAACTTTTGCTTTTTAAGAATAGTAGCTTCTGAATCTGATCAAGTTTAGATTCTCAGCAAGAGTAAGCATCAGCAGAATAATTTAGAGTACATAAGCAATAAGTAAATCAGACATAGAAATTATCCCAGTTCCTCTATAATGAGAGTAATCCAATCCCCTTGTCTCACAAGAGCTTTTCACTATAATCAGAACCTAATTACAACTTGCTTAGAAACACCAGTCCAAGACTTCCTGCTCAATAACTCCTGAAAGAGAATTCCTTACCTAAAGTCATAGTCCAGGACTTCCTTGCTCAATCAAACTAGAAAGAGACTTCATTTCCTAAACTCACAGTTCAGAACTTCCTGCTCAATCACACATGAAATATGTAACACCCTATTTCCCCGTCGGTAAATTATATAAAATCGGAGTAAATTAATTTCTAAATGAACATCAACAAAATAGGATGTCACATACTTCGCAAGTCACACATACTCAAAATTAGGATACGCAACACAATCGTAAGCTCATAAGTCTTAAACTTCATTACATATATTCGGAGCGAAAAAACATCAATAATTAGTCATCTCAAATTCTCAATCGAAATAATGAATATCATCTTTCAAACATCAACATAATCATAAATAACTCGAACAACAGAGCAATACAAGTTCACTCCTAACATAACAAAACAAATCACGCGAAAAATCCTCAAGTGTTGCGTATCAGAGCAGACACCAACTCAATCTACGCAACTAAAGGGACTCCTCAGACAACCTTCAATCTCTAGCTACTTCTGATCATTTGCACATTACCCACGTGGAGGTAACATTCAAACAGAAAGGGTGAGATATTAAACAGTATAAAAGAAAGCATAATAATAATCAGGTAACAGTTCAAGTACATAATCAACATATATCAGACATCGTAAAATAATACATAATTTCATCAACATTCACCCATCGAATTATAAATCACAACATGATGCAAAATATCGACATAGACTCGACGCATGTGGTACTAACAGGGTAAAACCCTCTTCGTAATAATGCCAATTAGGGCAATCAACTTCTCTCGCCAATACAGACATTTGCTCGGCAATACATGCCTTCTCTTATGACTTCATGAGACTCTATCATGCAACAACGTACTTCGCATTTATCATTATTACTCACTGCAATTTTTCCAATACATGCCATTGCCATCATTCTCATCATGTATTTCATGTCAAACAGTCAAAACAAGCATTGCTAATAATCGCAATATAATTCATGGGATACAATTCAAAGCACACGCACGGATTGGTATCAAAGTTGATGAGATAATTAACTACTGCATTATAAAATATTTTTATAAGATAGAAAATTGTTTTATCTCCCCAATGATCCAAATGGCGCGTCAAACGGACACCCGATGCAAAAGTTATTAGTTTTAGAAATTTTCTAAAAATACTGCCAGTAGCAGTGGTAACCGGTTACCCAAGTATGGTAAGCGGTTACCGCAAGACAGTAACCTTTTTCTTTTCAAAATCCCTCGCGGTAACCAGTCACCCACTTATGGGAATCGGTTACCGCAGGATAATAGCTATTCTTATATCAATTTTTGATATGTTAATCGGTTACCAGATTTGGGTGACCGGTTATCCTGCGATAACAGAGAAAAATCCTACAATTGCTTGTTACTATCTTTCCATGTTGAAATCCACAAAATTTATGTTTTTCACATCAAAAGTTTTATTTTAAGCAGGCTAATTACTCATCAATATTTTTATATTAATCCTAATCAATTCATGTCATCAAATTTCATCACAAACACATCAAAATCACAAAAATCCATTAATGGGGAAAACCCCTCAAAACAACCAATTATGGAGAATTCAAAACATACAATCATACAACCTAAATCCTACCATACCATATCATTAGGAAAACCATTATAGAGTTAGAATATCCTCTTACCTTAGATTCTTGGTTGGTTCTTGATTCCTACGGTGAATCCTTGCCCTAGCTTCCTAGTACTTCTCTCTCTTCTAACTCCTTTGTTCTTCTTCTATTTCACGTATTATTCCCTTTTTCTTTCTTCTCACTCTATTATATTCTAATAATAATATTACTAACCCAAATAAATAATTAATTAATTATTATTATAAAATAATAATAATTATTATAATAATATAATAATAATAATAATAATAATAATAGTAATCTATATTATTACACACACCCCTATGTTTCTACACAATTAGCCAAACACCCCCATAACCTCAACTTTTATAATTCCAAGGCATCTAGTCTCCAACAAGGCATCAAATCATA